TTTTCTCAAATTTAAGTTTCACAAGTGTGCCATAATCTTTAATTTTTCTTTCGACAGTAGATGGAGTATAAATTCTTAAGATATATTTATATATTCTAAATCTTGGCTGTTGATTTAGGTTCACTTTTTTCCACTGTCAATATCTCATTTGATTTAATTGATTATGGCAAAGCAAACAAGGGCTATCTGCCTAAGCGGAAGGAGGCCATCAGGGAGGATTTTCTACGAGAACCTCACTCGTATACACATTGTAAGTGGGGAAACACACGAAAGCGCTCATGCAGTCAGCTTGGTACCGAACCCAGATTGGAACTACCCTACCAGTGTTCAGTGATTTTACTGCTCTGCCGCTGATGGGCCCGCAACCTCATTAAAAAATAGAATTCTCTCTTTCACATCTTAAAATTAATATCTCAATGTTACAGTTTTATCAGAAACAGTTTTAGCTTTTTTGTTGAAATAAATATTCTTTTCATCCGCCTTTATATAAAACTCTTTTTATTTTAATTACTAGCAACTACGCTGCCAGCCTTCGTCTGGCTTTTAAATGCACCGGAAAATGCCTGAAGGGAATGCCAAACGTTAAATTTAAAAACTGCGCAGAATGTTACTCTGCAGAACAACTTCATGAAAAAATGTATTACATATAACAAAATTACAATGACATAAGCAATATCCTTTATACAAATATTAATTATTGTAATAAATAAATTAACCAACTTCCCATTGCTTTCTGTCAACAAACGCCCGGTATCCAAGAGAAACATTAAATTTTAAAACTGCACAGAATTATCGCCCTCATTTTTCCAAGTGGCAACAGTGCTGATTTTCAATAGTCAACAGTCTAGTATACAAGTGAATGCAAAACTGTTGCCAAAACCCCATTTCTAAAAGAATGAAACTATTCAAAATGATACGATAAATTCGAAAAAATAAAATAAAAACAAATGTAATCCTAATTTTGAAAAAATCGCTTCGAGGTGCATTGGCTCTTGTCTAGATGCACCTTATATAACAAATTTCGTAGCTCTAGTTCTATTAGCTTATGCGCAGCATGAATGAAAGACATACAGATTCTTTCTTTTATTATATGTAGAGAAGAGATTATTTCTGATATATCAAATCTTGAAATAAAATTTCAATAGTTGTATTGTTGAGCTCTGAAATTTTATTTTATTTTAATATATCTTACGTACCCTTACTGCCTTAAATCTTCATCTCTGTATCCGTGAAGGATAATCAGGTGATTTATCATACTCATCTTAACATCTAAGTAAGGTCCACAGAGAAGGTGGTTTAAAATGAATTTTTTTACTATTTTATCATCCTAACAAGATTCAAATCCAGGTTGTACTTTCTGTGTTCAGCATATTAACCACTCGGTTACTGGTAGGCCGGATGGAAGAAGTTCATCTGTGTTAGGTTAATAAAAAGTGAAGTGCAGTGCTTAAATAGAAATTTTTTCCGATTCAGATCCGTTCTTTCAGCTTGATTTGGGATACAAAAGAGACCATGATCTAACGATTATCCCTTTTTGAAAATGCTTTCAGAAATTTTTTCATGAGACTAGTTTTATATGGAAGCGGAGATAAAAGAATTTTATCTCTGCTAAGGAGACTTTAATTAGAAATGCTTTCGCTGCGAGGCTGAAGAAATTTTCTTAGTAGTCATATTTTGTTTTCAGTATCGACTCTTTGTTCAACTATGCCACTCACATGTAAAACAAGTGATCTTATGATCCCACCAAAATCACCCTGACCAAAAAGCATGTACGGAAACCTCGACTTCTTAAACTGAATTCGGTTTCCGTAGAGACTGTCAGGTGACATCGTCCCGTCTGAGTAAAATAGTTGTAAGTCGGAAGAAGGTGTGAACCATTGAAACATTAATTTAACATCCATGCACATTTCGTACTTCACTGAACAGTCATGCTAGTTGAGAGATCTAAACTTGTGGATCCGTGGCTTTTCTAACCGTGGCTTTATCCCTGGCGCATCTAAACCGTGGCTTTTTTTGAAGCAGGAGAGGTGAAAAATGTGCAATGCCCTCGACGGGACTCAAACTTTGAACCTCCAGAATACTTATTACACTAGAAGGTATGCGGAAGGGAGGGACAAATACCTTTTATACTTCCCCTTTTATAGGGCGACTAGGAATTAGTGTGCCCAGTCGCCAAATACTGGAGGTGACGAATTAATATCTACCACTTTTTAGTTCGGGCGCCACTTTGTAGAGTTATTAGGTTTTTTTTTTTTTTTTTTTTTTTTTTTTTTTTTTTTTTTTTTTAAAGCAGGAGACATGAAAAATGTGCACTGTCCTCCCCGGGATTCGAACCCTAGACTTCTCGAATACGCGTCGAGTACGCTTCCAGTTAATTATTATGAATTTATCACGAAGGCATACTGAAAGGAAGGAGAAAATACCTTACGGAATAAACGAACATAAAATGATAAAATAAATTTAAACGTAACTCGTGAATTCCCAAAAGCAACTCCTATCTAGCTTTGGCTCAAAATTCTAAATGAATACACAATACCGCTAGCAAAGACTGAAGCAGTTTAAATAATTTTAAGAGCTAGAAAAAAGCAGAACGAAGGTAAGCGTCGGTGCCAAAAGCTCTCTCCTTAGCTTCCAGAACTCATTTTTTATGTAATCGCTAATTAAGAAACTGGTAGAAGCTGATGAAAGTAGAAGTAACAGTATAGATAAAATAATAAGATAATGGGTTAATTAACATAAAACCTTACAAGCATGTGCTGTGTCTTAGAATATTTACCAATCATCTGTTAATGATGAGTGTACCCTTTAATTTTTCTTGTAGCTGCGCTGGGCTGAAATAGAGCCGTGTAATACTGAAACGCAGCTGCACCGTAAAGAAAAATAAGTTATTTACATTACCATGGATGTTTTGTGTTTTAATCGCTACAAAAGTAAGAGCAACTGATCAGTTTCACAAAAACAGTTCACATCAAAACTTGCATACGCTACATTTTTGTGACAGGGCAACATAATATTTTACGTGCGTGAGAACTGATTTCAAGTTTTCTTGGAAATGTGCAGAATACTAAACGAATGCAGGGCATATTTGTTTCTATTGCGAGGATAAAAAGAACTGCTTTAAGCTTTGTTTAGAAGAGTCAATCAAATGTTAAAAAAAGTATTTAATAATTCATAATTTATGATAAATTAAGTTATTGTTCCTCCATTCATTTTTATTCATAATTTTTTTTAAAATTTCATTTGGTTTAAGTTGTAAATTTTCAATCAAATAATCAAATATTGACATTATATGTAATAGAAAAAATTACGTTTTTGAAAAAAAATAACATGCAATACACAATTCTTTAGGATAGTTTTAGATTCAATATCTAAAATGATAACGCGAATAAATCAAATTTTCGAAAATATTTTCATCGCAGTTCTTGTATGAGATTTAATAATGATTAAATTTAAAATTCTATTTAATCACAATAAAATACGAAGAAATTATTTCAATAACCTTTTATATACGTAGAAAATTATTTTAAGGATTCATCCAAGATTAAGTGTTTCAGAAAACACTCTCATTGTTAGACCAGAAAAATAATTCTTCCTCTATAGAAGGTCTTTATTTCCAAAGGTTAATCGAGCAGCGCAACCGGGATAGTGGTTAGCGTCGCTGACTGCTCTGCCGAAAGGCCGGGTTCGAATCCCGGAGAAGGCATAGATGTTTTTAAATGTATAGTGTCAGTGCGGCATGGCGGCATTCCAAATATGTGGCGAGCCGAAAGTCCTCTCCGAAAGTGGTTTGGTGGAAGGGGAGAGAGCTGATTTCCATCAAGACTGGGGCGAAAATGAGCTAAAACGCACTGTCACCTGTAAGGTGCTCAAGGTTGTGCCAACGACAGGCGTTATCTTGCGCTCCTTGCCACGAGATATTTCGTGAGCTTGTTCTGATGTTGCTGTGAGGTAAGTCACCACACAAAGGTTAATCAGTACAGAGTTTATTTTATTTCAGTTTAAGGTTAATATTGAAAAATTATGTGGTAATAGTTCATTTCTAAGTAAGATCTTTTATTAATTACAAAATAGCTGCCTTTTTTTGTTTCATTTCATCTGAACTCTTTCAAATACTAATCCATGCAAGCGTTAAAATTTTAAAAAGAAAATACTTTCCGAAATATTTTGTATAGATTTTCTGTTCCTATTGTTTGCTTTTCCTTGAAATTATGTTACCCGAATTCATCTTCTGATTCTTTTGATTCCAAATTTCGACATTCTCAACAATCTTTGTAGTTAACCCTTTGCGGCACAGTGTGTCCAGTCTTGGCACACATAAAAATTTCCTTCTGTACGCGCAGAAAAAATTGAATGAAAAAGGATTTATAGGTTACTCTGAACCTTCTTTATTTATAGTAGATGGCAGCTTAACACAAACCAGTCCATATATTTTAGCCATGTTTAGTTTTTTAAGACCCTCATTTTTCAAAGAAATCTTCCAGATTTTTTTAGGGTATAAAAGGAATTGTTTGAAAAGAAATTTCTATGTTTTTTTTTTTTTTTTGGCTGTATGCTAATCTCCTTATTCTATATTAGTTTTAAATTTTTAGCTTGAAATCTTGCCTAAAATAAAACGGCGAACCCTAGGTGTACCTAGACCGGGCTCACCGATAATCTAGGACAAGTGAGACTCTATATTCTTTGTTTCTCAGCATCTCATCGGTCAGTTCATTGAGAAAAATGCTCGTTTCAGCATTCTTTTAGAAGCTCTATTCAATCAGTATGCTCACTTTGGACACACCCACAGAATTAAGCAATAAGTGCTATCTTCACATATTTTTACTTGTGTACTCCTCTAGGCCTAATTGCACTGCCTACTTTTTTTTTTTTTTTTTTTTTTTTTTTTTTTATCAAAACTTTAACTTTAAAAGGTAGCGTGCCGGAAAGGGTTGACCCATGAGAGAAAACATTTATAAGATTATTTTTGTGAATAAAAACTTTATTCTTATTCTTTCTTTCAGGTCCATACACTTTATTTATTCCATCGAATGAAGCTGTGTCTAGATTGCCGTCGAATTTAGTAGATCACTGGCGTGAAAACAATCCTGATTTAACATTAGCTCTTCTAAATCACGCCATACAAGATGTCGTCACACTTGACCAATTAAAGCAGGGTGGACGTATGACGTCGCGAGCTCGAGAAGCAACGATATTCATCAATAATTACAATAACGAAGTAAGTTAATAAAATGAAGCAAGAATATTTAATTCTGATTTAAATTAATTTATTTTTAAGAATTAAAAATTATATAATAATAAATCAATTTTAAATTATTTCGCTTTAATTTAAAGTAATATCGAATGATTACCTAAATTTAATACTAAACATTGAAGAATTGAAATAGAGATCATCAAAGGCAATTATTTGCAGATGTGTTAAAAATAACAATTTTCAAACTATTTTGCTCTGTTTTAGCAATTAAATACATAAAATGAGCAGTAATAATACGACAATAGCTAAGCATGATGTATAATAATTCTTAACGATACCTGAAGTAACCTGTAATTTGTTTTCTTAAAATTGTGTTTCATACGTTCACTGAATGGGCATTTGGGTGAAAAATAAAACGTAGGCAGAATTAATGACTTCAGATTTGTTGTTAAAAGTATTGTTTCAGTATAATTTCTTAGTAAGTTAATTAACTCCTACTGACTCTTTAAATAAAAATTTATGAATATACGCCATAAAATAGATGAAATTTTATGTAATTTGCTGTAATTATAATGGTAGAAATATCAAATACAATTTTAAAGAATTTAAAATATTAATATCGTCTACGTAAAAATTAGTTTACGTTTTTGCGGTCTATAAGCCGAAACTTATTAGAGTTCAATGAAATTTGATGGCTATTCTGCTTTCCAGAGACGATAAAACAGTGAGACATGTGTTGAAATGAGCACAAGAACCATTTTATTTGCATGTCAGTGAGAAGGAGGAATGAAGATTATACCTGTTTCGAGAGCAAGTTAGAAAAGTCTCCAGTTATTTAGTGCGCGAGTTTTGACATTGTTACATGTCATTTGTTCTAGCTTCCTCCTTCGCAATTTTATTCAGTTTCAATACAGACTTTTATTTTAGAGTAAAATTAGAACTAAATTATTCTAATTCAGTTTGTAAGAAGGTGAAATTCACCATTATTCATAGGTGAATTATTCTTAATATCGAACTAGAAAACCATAACAATAGATTTTCTGAAATACTTGATTTGTAAGTAAAACTATTTTCACTTATCGTTGGTTTTTACTTATTTGTACACAGACATCTCACTACAAACAGAGTAAGACAAAGTAAAGGAAGTACTGTAACTGCGAAAAATTGCGGGTATAATATTTCAACGAAAATATCCATTTTGACAGCTCTCGAATCCATCTATAAGATTTTTTTGCTCGACATTTGTACTTACGGACAGAATAAAGGACTCTTTTCTCCCAAACGGATTGTAAAATGGATGTAAAAGGGATTAAGAAGAGATATTTTCGTGATACCTGTACATACGTACACACACATGTATGTATGTATGCATAACTTAAAAATGATTACTCGTAGAACGTTGTAATTTGTATATAAGATTGCTATAACGTCTACTTGTGCAGCTTCCTTTTTTGTTGCATTCGGTGGCACCCTTTTTTGTTGCAATCGGTGGCACCAAACGCATATAAATATATACACCCACCCTCTTACCCGGCTCTGAGCTCTGTGTTGATATTCTTATATATTGGTAAATTATGTATTTTTTGCTTTAAAAGTGATTGAATTATGTTGTTCTTATGTTCTGGTTAAAGTTTTTAATGCCTTTATTTAATCTGCATGCAATAGTTGTAGAATTATCAACAATTTAAAAGAGTAAGTCGCACTATGCCTAAAGGGGCGGCTATTTGTTTACATTATTTGTAACTCTTGGTAGTATAATCAATGAAGTCAGTTGGTGCACCAGTTTCAGTGTTTTATTGCCTAGTGCGACTAAACTTTGACTTCAAATATTTGTGCACCGAAAATGTTATGTTTCTGCCCTTTGGCCGAGTTACTTGTTTTTGCTGTAGAAACTCTTAATTGCAATTTTTTTATGTTTTAAACTGTATTTGATTGCCTCGCTGCGAATGAAATTCGAAGAAATAAGTTTAAATGAAATACAACCAAAAAAAAAAAAAAAGTGTATAATTTAAGAGACCGTACCAGAAGTCCTGTGGTGGGCCCATCAGATTTTTTTTCTTTCGGAAACCTGCAATATCAATTAAAGCATGATTGATAATCTTAGGTAATTACGGTTGTACTCGTAGAATTTTATTTTATTTCATTTTATTTATATATTTTTATTGAAAATCTTATTTAACGCTGGAAATGCAAAAGTAAAAACATTATTAATTAAATACAAGTAAATTCATAAAAATAAGGTTATAAGTGCTAAGCAATTCCAGTATAGTACATCATAGGAGCAACGCTTAAGTTCATGCTAAAATAAGACATCATTTACTTTATCTAAAATATACAATTTGAGTTTAAATTAAATAGAAATATCTTGCCACTTAAGCCATGATTTGAAATTGCATAATTTTTGTATCAATGGTTCTATGAGACCAAATTTTTACACTGACTAGTGAACAAAAGAGAATTTAATTTTATGAAATTGAAAAAAAGTAATAATTTATTTCTGTAAAGCCTTGCGCTCCTGCATGGCGAAAAAATAGTCAAAGACCCTGGTAAAAGTGATTAAACAGTTTCTGGAGCAAAAACATTATAATTAAAATCAATAACAACAACAATAATAAGTCCTTTTTGAATCCTTTATAAAATGCAAATGCAGTTCATGGCGAAAGACTGAAATTTGAAAAAGACAAAAAAGATGCCTATAGTATCGTCTGATTTTGAATAGGTGAGTCATCCTAGAAACTTTTCAATCAACCTATGTAAAACATAAACATGGAAGTATTTTCCATTTCACGAATGCACAGAGGAATATTAAGACTACAAAATGATATACTTTAAATTATCAAATTGTTTAAAATAGAGCTTTGTTTGCATTGTGTATTATTTATTTATACAAAAGTATTTATACTAAAATTTATACAAAAATGTTCAGACCAAATTTTACAATTACAAAAATCTCTCAAACCAAATTTTACACTTCTCGACTGCTCATTTAAATCATTGTTTTCGCGAAGTATCACTTCAGAAATAAAAGTAATATTTGCTTTACATGAAATTTTCTTCTCAGACAATATTTATAAATGTTTAATATTTATAAAATCATTTACTCATCTTTCATAAAATAATTGTAATTATCTGCTTCAGAAGAGATTTTCCAAAACACTCTATACATCCTTTAATTTTTTTTTTTTTTTTTTTTTTTTTTTTTACCCAGGCTGTTACTGTTAACGGGCATCGTATCGTTCACGGTGACGTGACAGCTCCAAAGGGAGGAATCATACACGTGATTGATGGGACTCTTTGTCCTGTGGCCGATCGAGACATCATTAATACTCTTCGCACTTGCAATAAATATGATGGATTCCTTACTCTCGCAGACGTGACCAAACTGTTGGAAGAAATGCAAGATGGTAAGACCGCATGGCAGATGGGAATGTATTATTATCCTTTGTTTCAAATATGTTAACATCTAATATTTAAAATAAGGACATCTCAATTCTATGCAGATCGTTTACTGCAGATTTTGGACATTTTCCTGAATTACACATAAAAATTAAATTAGAATTATAAGAGAATGAAAAAATAATTTCCACTATTTTTTTAAGGGAAAAATAACGTTAACAAAACTGATGATAAAGAATTTCGTTATTTGATCAGGAAAAAAAAAAAAAACTCTCATGAATGGATAAAAATGATAAGCCAAATAAAATTAGTATTAAGATAAAAAATTAATACTGCAAACGCTGGAGACTGAAGATCTGTAACTCTTAGTTTTGAGGGTTTTAACTTAATTTCATCTTCGACTACTACTAAGTAAATTAACCTCATAATATGTAAAGAAAGAAATTAAGGTTAGGTTACTGTAGTAAGTCAAAATACACGAGGGTTAATATTTTGTAATTTTATCAAATTTGTTATTATAAGAATAAATATTTGAGATGCATATAATTTGAGAAATTTATATATATTATGTAATAAATTTATAAAATAATATAAATTTCAGTAAATGTAGTACTAATTAGAGTATACTTAACTACGATGCAAAAGTTTCTTCCAAACACTCTTACTTGCACTCATTAAATTCCTACTCTTAGCTCGCACTTTCCCTAATTCAAATTTTCCATCTTTAATAAAATACTTTTTATTCATCAAGTTCAAATACATTTTTTTAAACTTGTAGTGGATGACACTTGATGTTAATACATTTTTTTTTTTTTTTTTTTTTTTTGTTAAATTTTTCTTTGTTGACCTAAGTAGGAATTGACTTAATTTTTTTTTTTTTTTTATATATATTACTTGTTTTTAGAAATTAGGCGAGTTAAAGTTTGTTAGCTATTTTCATCTTTACGTGGTTACGTGGTTATCCTCCTTGCTGTTGCCTGGCAACCAATGAGTTTTGTCCGTTTTAGGTTTTCATAAAATTCTTTATTTAACGATAAAGGGCTAAGTGCTTGCCAGAAGGGAACGATAAAGGGCTAAGTGCTTAACAGCTGCGTAAATAGTTCATAATTTAGATGGCAAACAATTTACACAGCTGTACTGTTCCATTTTTCCGACACTGGAAAGACATTCTCCAAATCCCAAGGACTACTTAAAAATTGTTTTTCTTTTGTTTAACCGCTATGTTACGTATTAGTGCGCTTGTTTGGGTAACAAAACTTATATTGATATTTTTTTTTTCAATCGTGCTGATAATTTTTTTAAGGTAATGGTTAAATAGACTTTTAACTGCATTCTTATAAGAGGTAACTAACATTGTACGTCAAACAAACTAACAGGAAGCAACAGTCGGCGTAATGTGAGTTAATTTAATATCGTATGTCTTTAATTTTATAATTCACACACTTTCAGAGTAAGGAGATAAAATATTGTCTAGACGACTGGCTTTGAACCTCTATTCTAAAACTGGAAAAATAAATATAAATTTAGTTAAACTTAGATTATTTCTTAATGCGTTTCATAAATTAAACAGCAAAAAGTGCAGAAAATGTTGATAATACCAAAACTTAAAACTTGAATAAAAGTAGTTTCTTTGTTCATAAAATGGAACTAAATACTTAACAGGTAAATAAAAGGCTGACCGAATTCCTCTCCTGAAATTATCAAATTTCTCTCGGGGGGGGGGCATTTCTCGTGGGTTGAGAACCGCTGGTCTGGACTTTCTCTTTTTAGAAACTGTTTTGACCGCAGAAACATCTGCAGCCTAAATTAGCTATATATTACACGACATAATATGATGATATGTTCCGTTACTTTGCTGCTTGACCACGCATATCGGCAAACTGCAGTTCTTTAATCAGGAAGAATAGAATATTGCTATGAAGAGAGAGAGAGAGAGAAAGAACTGTCTTTAACTTGAGAGGGAACATTGTTAATTATATTTAGAGACGGCCTTCCTTCAGGTTGTTGACTTCTAAAGTGATTCCCGCTCTTCAACTGTCGATTACTGTTTCGATCTTCTTAACTGACTTTCAAATGATGACAAAAAGGTTATACTTCAATGGATTCTTGCTCATCGTGGAGTTCATGGTAACAAGGTCGCCGATTTCTTGGCTAAGAAGGAAGCTTCTGCTTTTCAAACGTTACAACCTGGTCTTCCCGAGAACTCTATTAAATCAGCTGTTTGGAAAGCCTACAGAGACTCCTTTTTACAAGAATTCACAGAGAGAAATAGCAATAAATCATAGTTTAGACAAATTCTTGAAGTACTTGAATGGCCTAGAAACAAATCTGTCACATTGTTCCGTCTTATATCTGGTCATGACTGCCTTCATAAAGCACCTTCAACGCATCAATGTCACTCCTGACTCTCTTTGCCCCGTATGCAATCTTAAGAAAGACGGGAACTTACAACATCTCCGCAAATGCCCTGCCCTTCTTCATATTTCAATCTGGGAGCTCTATTGGATGGCGAGGAACGCCCTGAGTTTATAGTTATACTGATGTCAATTTTCTTGTCTTTGTTTTGCATTTTATTGCTTTACGTGCCATTAGAATAAGAAAAATATTTAGAGACGGATTTATAGGGTCAATGGCAAGGATCTTCGCGTTTCAGAGATTTCTTCCCCTGAAAATATTAGTTAATTTTTAAAAAGCAATAAACACAATCCTGTGTCTTATGATGAAGGACCCTCAAATTATAGGTGACATGCGCTTCAATTGCTAAATCAGCCATTTAGTTATAATTAAAAACTTCATTCTTCTTTCAGTGTAACAAATTAAGAGATTTAAAATATACACATTTCTTAATAATATTGAGTATTTTACTTTTTAATAATATGCCTATTTAGTAATATTTATGATATACTCGTTTTATAATTAATGTAACATTTACCCTAGTATTAGAATTTAAAAAAGCCACATATAATGTCATATATTATGCACTCAAATATGAAATAATCGTTTTTCCACTGCCTAGCAATTTTTCACGTTTTGCAATTTTGTGTTTTTGGTGTTGAAAACAACTTTAGCGAAATCTTTCCAAAACTTTTTGGGGCCCACCAGCGGCCGAGCGGTAAAGTCGCTGAACACTGGTAGTTCGGTCAGAGGTTCGAATCCCGCGAACGGGCTGGCTGCATGGGTGTTTTTCGTGGTTTTCCCCATGTGTAACGTGTATACGAGCCAGTTTCCCTTAGAAAGTCCTCCACAAAAGGCATCCCTCCCCTTAGGCAGATAGCCCTAGTGTGCTTTGCCGTAAGTATCCCACACCCAAAACTTTTGGACCCTTATGTTTCCTTACGCAAATAAATGGCATTTCTTAATATGTCAACGGCAAAGGAAAATAACTTATTTTAAAAATTTAATCAGTCTATAATTGCTTAGCAAAATAGATGTTTGCGATTTAAAGATAATAACTTCATATCTTAATAACTTAAATCTCCATTTAATTTTGCATTAGTATATCTAACTAATATATTTTAAAATATATTTAATTGATTAATATGACTCCTTGATAATTTTCAAAAGGTACTTTGACATCATACCCTACCTACCTCAATATAGAATCGTTTGGTTCTTTTTATTATATTTAAATTTTGCATCTCATCTCACTATTACTTGAGCAAGTGCCTTATTCATTTCAATCTGGGTACAACAACTGTATAGAGCAGTGGAAGGTGCACGGGAGAAATTAACTTTCTTTTTCGCTCATGTAGACTAAATGTTCTCAAACATGAGTCCAACATGAAACAAGAATGAGTTTATAGAGTCTCATTCTCTCGGGAAGCATAAACTAACGAGCTCTAAAAGACTGTATGAGGAATTATCCTCAGGTGAACTGTTAGTAAAATCAAATAAGTAAAATATATGAAAGGTTTCAGATTTTAAAATTACGTCCAAAGGGGCGTTTTTCAACATTTTGTGTGTTACGTTTACATTAACTATCATGTTCTACGTACTCAAAGCAAAAAATTCAGCTCAACAGCAATACGTAAAATAACGTTAAAATGAACATATCTTTAGAATTTCTGATTCAGAGTCTCGTGCATTGGAGATAATCCCCCCCCGTACAGTATTGCCATTGCTCGCTTTGAAATCGTCGAGTTTGTTAATCAAAAATCCGTTGAAGTGTTACAAAATATGAAATCGATAATGAAACAAATTTCAAATTCAAATTAGGGCTTCCACATGCCCATATTCTATGGAATATTACGTTATTCAGATTTTGAGGCTCTAAGTACCGCTGTTTTATGACAATGCGAGAAACATACATGCTTTCATGCATATTCTTCATTATTGAATTTCTCTAAATATAATACATAGCTCTAATATTTGGTGGCAACAATTTGAAAAGTGATTCACCGTTTATAGTTTTCAACGCAAAATGACAAAACGAAATTAATAGTCCTCCAGGCAAATTGCCCCTTCGGACTAATAAATCTCCACAAGTTTGCAAATTGAAATTTTATTGAAGCATACAGTTTATTATTTCCATTCTCAGTTCATTAACTAGCAAACGATTTTCAAGTAAATGATGTTCTGTATGTTTAATCGTACAATTAAAATCTTTTTAATGAATAATTCTTAATATTTTAAATCTTTATTTATTTTTTATTAATTTATCTAACTGATATACCAGAATAATAAGAAAATTTTTTTAATATGCTTCTGCTAGTTTCGAGGAATATTTATAACATCATTGTAATTAATATTATTAATATTTTTTTTATTGTCTAGTGTTCAAATATTCTACGTGATCCATTAAATTGCCAGTAAAAATTGCATTACTTAGTATCATTTAGATAGATAGGGTTAAGAATATGACAAATTACACGAAGGCCTGCCTAAGGGGAGAGATTCCTTTTGTAAAAGGTATTTCTAAGGGAGGCTAGCTTATATTCATACTAGGTGTACCCGCCCGGCGTTGCCCGTGCATTTAGAAAATGCAGATAAGTGAATAGCGCAGGAATAGTAGTGTAGGACATGTAGACTGTCTCTCTCTCTTCCCCCCCCCACAAGCTACAAAAAAGAAATGAATTGTAATTAATCGATTTAATGTATCGTCAAAACAGCAAACTAACGCTAGAATAAAGAAATCAATTGTTACAATCGAACGTTATTTGAAAACAAATAATAATTCAGTGAGTCAAAAAAACCGTGATTAATAAATTATAATAATTTTTTTAAAATTTTTCTAATTCAAAAATCGAAAATCGGGCTTCGAGGTCTGGTGGCCAGCCCCTTTGTGCTTCCGTATAAAAAATTCCAGGTCCCTGCGTGCGATAGATTTGGCTGGAGAGCTCGGTCAGACAGACAGACAGACACATTACACTTGCTTTTATTATTATAGATTGCATGAAAACCAGCCACGCAGCCCGCGCGTTCACCTGAGATTGAACCCAGACCTTACAGACGACTGTTGGAGCTAGATAGATAAGGAAACTGATGAGAATGAAAAGAGCTATGTTATTTCTGTATCATTTTTAAAATTGCAACACATAAAACTCGTGCCACCTGAAATCATTGTATGAAGTCCTTAACATAGCTTCATTTTCCCTAACGATAACACTATTTACTATTTACGTACTCTGATTTTCTGTTTGAAAGTATTTATTGATATCTTGATATCTATCTTTTCAACTCAGCTTATCATTCTTCATGGTTGATTTCTTAGTCTGAAATATTATTGACAAATATTATTGACTTTGCGATCGAAAAAAAAATAGTTTTCAGTTATAATTCGCGTTTTTTCCTGATAAAAGGGAAAATGAAATCTAGTTGCGGATGTAAATACCGTGAAACCACTCCTCGGTCTTTTGTGAAAGTAGTTTCTTAGAAAAGTGATGCTCAGTATAGAACTTTTCTTATGTCGTCAGAAAATATTGCTTCCCTTTCAAAGGTTGTTTTCATAATACATATTCCCATAATTATCACTCACTGAATTTACTAGCTGTTTCATTCTGTAGACTTCAGAAAACTAATATAGCCAGAATTCAAACTTATAAGGTATTTCTCCCACTTCCCTAGCGTGCCTTCGTGGTGTAGTGGTTAGCACACTGAGTCGGTATTTCAGAGGTCCGTGGTTCGATTCCCGGCGAAGGCGGTTGCATATTTTTCATCTTTCCTGCTTCCAATTAACCTAATGACTCTACAAATTTATTCTCAAATTTTTAAATAAGAAAACTGACTGTTACATGAATAAAATGCCTTTATCTTCTTTTTTTACTTATAGAAGGACCGTATACAGTATTTTTACCTAGCAATGAAGCACTAACGAAAATTCCTGCTGAAGAATTGGCAATACTCAAGGAAAATATTACAGTCTTAAAAGGCAAGTTTACACTATTAATTAAAATTATTGAACTGAAAATTGAAAGGAGAAATATGATTCCTATTAATCTCTTAATTATTTCCTGAATTCCACTATTGCTTTTTTTTAATAATTTACAATATTTTCATGTTCAAATCATATCACTTTAGAAGAACATCTTTAGTATATTTTTTTTAACAAAAGTATGGTCCTTATCTTCTTCGTATACGAAAGTTTCTTATATTTATACAATTTAAAATATTCTTCTGTGCTATGGAGTAGGTCGAGAATATTAAGTGCAAAAATAAGTATCTAAATATATTACTCACTAAGAACAAACTTAGAGAAATCAAATTAAGTATTTAAAAAAAAAAAAAGATGATGTACTCAGTTTTAGAAATTTCGAGCGACTACTTATTTTCTAACTACTATTCAAATCTTACGCTTCAAATTTTGTGCAAAATAATTGCAAATATAACAGCTAAAAATTTTATTTATTGTAAATATGTTGATCATTTTCCATTACTTATCTTTAAACACAAATGTTAGATGATTCACTATTAGCAAAATGTAATTGTTGGTTTGGAACTCCTTCTTTTAATCGTTACGACAACTCAGTGCTGAAAAAATACATTTATATGAGATAATAAAAAATTAGAAAAGATAAGAATACACATTACTCTACACACAGCTAACAGTTTTACCTATAAGTATTCCTTATGGATTTATAATACTTAATATTCAAAATCTATTCCAAAGCAAACCTTCCTCAAAATTTCTCATTATTTTCAGTGTAATTGCGATTAATAATATGCTTACTTACAGATTTCTTAGAATATCATGTTGTCCAAGGAGCTTATTTCAGTGGTGATCTAAAAGATGGTCAATATTTGACTACCCTACATCAAAGGCATCCTGTGCGAGTAGGTGTACGCGTAGATGGATGTTACAGTAAGTTATAAAAGATGTTATAAAATATTCATAGATTATTAAAACTAAGCAAAGATGTTACGATGTGTTAAATTATCATTAATATTATAAGTGTTAATTAAATTATGTATCGTTGTTACAGAAACATGGGGAACTTCTTTTAAATCGAAAGTATCATATTGCCTTTTGCACAGGTTAATACTCTTAAAGTGATTCCCAAATGTATTGGGACACATTATTATAAAGATATTAATTATACATAGATTAAATATAGACAGATTAAATCAGAATTTTTTAATAATGTCTTTATTCTATTCCTTATATAATTATGTATGAGATTTGTTAAAATAATAGTTTAAATTATTAAATTCTTTTAAAATTTTCTTTAAAATTCTTTTTAAATAAATATTAATGAAAAAACAAAAATTCTTCAACAGTTATTTAAAAAACTGCTAGAAAGGCACCAAAAAATGCTTAACGACCCTAAAATGTAGTACTTTCTTACTCATTCTTTTTGCTTACATACTCGAATCCGACTATAACGAACCCGGCTTATAACGAACGAATCTTTTGATCCCATCCAATTTCTTTTACATTTAAAGTTATCTTATACTGCTCTAGCGAACCTCCAAAAGTAAGAAAATCGGATATAACGAACTTTATAGATATCTTTGATCGGTATTTTTTTTAGAGTTTTTTGCATTTTTCTACAGAATTTCTGCAAGTTTTAACGAAAAAATGACTTCCCGTTAAAACCACTACTTTTAGGTTATTAGGATCCATATTACATCCATATTTCACATTATTTTCTTAAAGGAATACACCGTTATGTTATATTTCTTTTTAACTCTCCCCCCAACACGTTTCTCTGTGTCCTAAACAAATGCTAATACAGGTATAGTTAATGCAACGTCAGCAGTAACATGCGCATTTCCTTGGGTATATTAGGTATCACCAGGCCTTGTTAGCTATTAAGCTTACACCTCTTTCCAGGGAAAACACTCCCGGTGGGAGGGGCGGGTCCGAGGGCCTCACACTTCTCTTTTCCTGCCACTACTCTCTTAAGAGAACTTACGGTTTGCCTTGTATTTTGAGTGCTTCCTTGTCGCACAGGCACTATACGCTTGCAAGCATACATGATTTAATTATGTCATGCATCAATGACTCTTAATTCAAATCCAGTTCTTCTGTTTTCCTTTTAAAATTCTAATATCTTAATCTTTCATGTTTCTTTACTATTTCCTTGGACAGATGGCCGTTTTGCCTTTTCTCCACCCTTTGTTTTTTTGGTGTAAATACTGTTATGGCTCCTACCTTCCTTGCAGATTTTTTTCCCTCCTGACGAAGAGGGACTTATTCATGTACCCGTTCGTCCTCGAAATCGATAGAGTTTCCGGGCTTCGAACCCGGGTTGTTTGGTGCAGCAGTCAGCGTTTCAAATTTTACTGGAAACATTGGTTCTTATATATATAAGAGTGTAGATATAATAACATAGAAATAAAAACATACGATACAGTACATTATTATGTTTCAACTAACTGGAGAGATCATAAACATCTGTAATCTAGTCTTTCTACTCGCATCACATTAAACTTCACTCCATCCCTTATTAGTACAAAAAATTGAGCTATTTACAAACAATAGGTCTCCTAATAATTTATGTAAATATGAGAACTTTTAATGTATCCAGCTAATAGTTATTTATAAATTTACATCATAAATGTAACAAATAAAAGACATTTAAGCACCTCGTAAATGGAATAATGGTTTGCTTGTATAAATAGATCATGTACTAGAATTTTAATATTTACAAACTAAAGAATAGAAAATTCGCATCTAAAATCCTTTTTAATATTTTTACTCAATTTCAGGACGTCTTGTGGAAGCTAATAATTCCCCGCTCTTTAAATCAGACATTCCCACCAAAAATGGAGTTATCCACGTCATTGATTGGGTACTAAGGCCTGGAGATCTTACTTGGTGTGATGGCGTCATTCTTCCCTGAAAATGAAGTACAAAAAAATACCCTATTACTCACCCATTCTCAGGACAGCACCAACATTTTTGCTTTTATACTTTGATTCATAATTATTATGAATTAAATTCTCTCATTTTTCGCCTACCAATGTATAGTAGCTGTGTTTCATAATGTTGATGGAAATCTAGATTTTCACAGGATTGGTGCTTAAGAAATCCGGAAGCCAACATTGCAAAATTCCTAACATCAATGTTTAATTGCAGTGTCATCACCAGAAGATTGTTTTATAGTTACCATGCTGCCTTTTCTGCTAGTTTCTGAAATATATACTGTAAAATATTTCTTCCAAACTTTCAGTTTCAGCACGTATTTGTCATTAAGTTTTACAAAATAAGCTGTATGTCAAAATTAGATAAAACATGTTAAAATAAGAAAATATTATGCTGTATAATATCATGCTATAAAATAACTATATAACTAAAGAGGATCATGCATACTTAATTAGATCCATAATACTTGTAGTTTGAACAACTGCGATTTCTCATCTGATAAGCAGAGGATGCTTAAAAATGATTGATATATATTCAGAGATAAAATGTGAATATACAGATGAACATATATAACCTGAATGAGCAAAAGAGTAAAAAGTTTTCACTTTCCGAGAAATTAGCGAAGTCACTGACAGCTGTCATATCCAAGCTTCAAGTTTTCTTTAAATGGATCTTTTTCAGATGTTTTTTCTAAATGGATCGTTTTCAGACTCTCACAAAGCTGATTAACAAAAATTGAGTGTGCTTTTCAATCACATTCTCCTAAGATCTCACCTCCAAAGACATCGATGCAAAGGGGGCTTCATGCCTCAGAAACCCACTAAGTATTTGTTAAAAGATTAAAAAAAGGCTTTAATCATCTACGACTAAAAACAAGCATTGATCTTGCACGACTGAGAGCTAGCTCACTATATCCCGTCAGAGCTGGAGACATGTTTTAACACGAAAGGTCTTCACAATGATCATATTTAAAACGAATAAACATTGAAATTAGCCATTTAAAAAATTCTATTAAAATGATAATTTACAAAATAGTATTTACAATTGTATAGTTAGAATATACTTAACCTCATAAAAAATGAAATGTATTAACCATTTGGGGCACCTTAAAATTATTCGCGTATCTACATCAGTGTTCTTAATCTCATATTACGTGAGAACTGAATGTACGTTTTTAAATCAGCTGACGCTTTTTTTACTGATGAAATTAAACGATTTTTACCTAAATTGAAAATTTTATTTATTAAATATTTATTGAAACTTACATAAATGGTAATAAAAATGACGCAAAGGAAAACAATTCCAATTTATATTTATTTTCTGTTTGAAATCGAAAGTTTGATATCCTCAATATGTGGGACTGAGATAAAAATAACAAAATACTGTAGCAAATTTCCAACCTAGGTTTATTCAAAACAGATTCCTTTACAAACTATATCCTGCTTTTCAAATCAACAAATACATAGAATGAATACTGATGAGTAGTTAAAATTAATGCTGTTCAAAAACCTTTTTCATAATTTTCTGTGTTTTCAATATGGTATTCTTTTAGAAGTGCTTCAATTTTGGGAAACAGGAAATAGTTGTTTGGAGCTAACTCCGGAGAATTAATGGGATCTGACAATTGCAAATTTGTTCTCTGGCCCAAAATTCTTAAATGTTTATCTTATGACAAGTGTTTGTTACAAAACAAAGGAAATCAGTTGCTCTGTTCTAGATATTAGAATTTCACGATGTTTCAGAGCATTTAATTAAGGTGCGAGTAACTGTCCATGAGTGACAAATTCTTTGCGTGTAAAATTTTCATTTCATGAAACACCATTAAGTATTGATATGATTTTCACATACAAACATTCCGGTGTTTAGAAATTTGCATTTGCATCCATGCACAATTAACTCTCACGCAACGACCAAGAAATGTGACTTATGTAGCAAGTGTTCTTAAAGAAAACACTTGCTTTACTTCAAGTTCTTAACTTGTAGATACAATGCCCATTTTCGTTCCGTATAATCTGACTGATTTAAAATTTTTGCACCATCTACAAATGCTGTACGTTATTTGATCACGGTAAGCTTTTGATAAAAATACTAATTTTGATAAACTGTATGAATATATCATGAAATTTTAATGTTTATGATTCCATTTGTTTGGCTCGCAACAAAAGGCAAACTGTTGTGGAAATGTATTTTTATCATATATTTGTTTGTTGTCATTGCACTTCATTTTTGTTTACAAATCATTGTTTGTTTATTTGTTTTTTAATTTGTTAACGAAAACGTCATTTATTGCTTTTCTTATATTACTGCATAAGATGTCTGTGACTTCATAAGTGTCATTCTGGGAATGACAAGTTTCAATTTTGTACTTTGTTTTGCTTTGTTGTGGAAAAAATAAATATCTTAAAATAAATGAAAATGATTTTGTTTTCTACGTGCAAAACACAAATCAGTATATTTTTTAAATAATATAGGCCAGCTTCAATTTAATTAAAGTATATTATTATTATTATTACCATAAGAGCTTAAAATTACCCGTTGGAATAAACTAGAAAATCATAAAAAGTGCAATTCATAATTAGCATTATTCTTACTTATTACATTTGAAGATATTCACTGATTCATTCAAATTCTTTTAATAACTTTTAGTTATTCACTTAGAAGTGTGGGCATTTACATTAGCAAGTGAATAAAAGAATACTTTAATTTAAGTTCACAATGACAGTCGACTTGTAACTAAAATATGGTTAAAGGAAAACAGAATTTAACATATACGTTTAAAATATTTTGTGGTAATTGATCTGATTACATTACATAATTCGTAAGAGGATGGCAAAATATATATATTAATAAATTTAATCGTAAATAAGCATATTATTATATTAAATAGAAGGTTTAAAGACTAAATATATAAAGATAAGTAATAAATAAAATGTTAAAAGAATAAAAAAATGCGTAGAAATTTCATACTATTTAAAAGTCTTTTATTAAATCTGGTAATTCATTTAAATAAATTTTTGATACTGTATCAAAGTGAAAATATTTAAATGTTTACCATCTATTTCGATAAAGAATTTAATAATTAAAATGGTTTGCTTCGATATTTTTCCTTAATAGTCAGATGTAAAATTTTGTCGGATCAACTTCGCTATTTTTAGGTACTATATTACTGGAAAGAAAAGTGTAGTTTTCGACAAACTTGGTAATTTTAATATGTGTTATCCAAAGTACTGTATTCTTATCATGAAATTCAATTCTTTATTTTAAGGTATTTGTAATATTTACTAACTTAATTTAAAATAATGCAGTGTTATTCATTTTCTTGTGCCTGATCAAGTTTTTCAGGCCACAGTCTGGATGAAGAACGGTAAATCCACTTATTCTCAAATGCATTTTACTTTCAAATATCAACTTTGTTCATAATTAATTCTTAAGTAAGCCGTTTCAACGTGAAACCTTTTATATTTCAAGTACATTAACTTATCGTAATATCTTAGTTTTCTCAAAATATACAAATAAAAACTAAAACTTTTATAAACTTATTAATTTGATATTATGATTCAAAGTCCAATTATAAAAAACAACTAAATATAAATTATATTTTAATGCATTGCTAACAAAATAAATAAATATTTTTTTACATAAAAGGCAAATATTTTCTTTAAATAGTAGTCTAAAACTAATTTCAGTCTGTTTCAGCAGTAATTTAAAATTTCTGAAACAAAAACAAATCGACTTTAATTAAGAAGGTAATGATTTCAAACAGGTCCTGATTTCAAACAAAAGCAGTATTTGCGCATTTCAGAGTCATCTATACAATCGCCTTGATTGCCATACTTGTTTATGCGGCTTATGTCGCCCAGTTTAAATGCTTCTTTAATATATTGCAAAGTACTTTCAAATTCTGCTCCACCAGGCTCTGCTTGAAGCGTTACTTGATACTCCAAATGGGAACCGATGGAATCATCAAAAACAACTGACTTTTCATCACCTGCACGTTCGAGTTCAGAATAAGTAAGCATCTCTTTTATTGGTTTACTTACTCGAACATCTATAATAGATGACAATTTAAGTTCAGCACATGAATCTCTGTAAGGTTTTGTTATATTATTCACAGCTTCCAAGAGGATATTAGCTACTTTTCGAGACGACGCGTCTTTGGATGGAATTTTATGATAATCGTGGCATACACACCAGTGCGGTAGAATGAAAGCACTGTTGCAATTTCTTTCGACAGGTATTTCTTTAAAAAGACTGATCCCATAAGGTGTGTGACTATAATTGTAATCATTAGACATCATTTGATAAAGGTCGACAAAAGTTTCATGGATGTCAAATGGAGTTGTCAGCCGATACTGATTTAGTTCAAGATTCTGTGCAATTTTAGGATATGCCTGCAAAAACCATGGTGGAAATGATATAAATAAAAAAGGCATTCTTTCTTCTACCTTTCCAATATAGGTCTTGCGTATACCTCCAAACCGTATCCCATGATCGCTCATAAATATCAGCATGCTTTTGTTTAAGAGACCCATGTTCTTGATATCGCTTAATAGCTCAAACGCAGGTTTGTCAGCAAGCCCTGCTTTATTAAGTTTGCCATGAGTTAACCTAGCAGCCCAAGTGAAGGCAAAATAAGGTCTGCTTTCCATAGTTGAAAGAAAACTACGTAGATAATCGAACAAAACTTTAATTTCTGGTTTCGCCTGCAAGCAATCCACTTTACTTCGTTTGTGCCACGGAGTATCTTCAATTGCTATAGTAAAAGGTCTAAAGAAATAATCTGTTGGTGGAAACTGAAATCCATTCTTCACATAATTGTACGTTGCCATATCAGGAGCATCTTCTGCTAATAATGTGCGATAACCCATGACTGAGAAGTTTTTCCATATAAAATCTAGATCATCGAAATACCTATCTTTATTTTTAGAAGTATAATAATGCTTTATGAAATGGCCTGTTAGCATCGGAGTAAGATTGGGAAATGTATTGTCAGCTACTTTCATATATCCATGAAATTCAAACATTTTAAGGTTGTTTCGAACAAATTCTGAGGTCGTTTTGAAATGTCTCTCAAAATTTAACTTCGAAATAGAATCTATACCTACCACAATAATATTTAGAGGTGTTTTAGTTAATCTTTTAGAAGCACTTTTTTCACACCTTTCCTCCACTTGAGGTTTTAGTGGTGTAGATGCTAAAAATTCTTCATAAACGACAGTGGAATTCGTTCTGCAGAAGACTTTGACAAACTCTGAAGGCAAATCTTCGCCGAACTTGAGCATCTTTTCTTTACTATATTCAAATTTATTGTCTGCTCTAGAAGTATCATTATTTGGATTTCTTAAAATTGATCTATATGTACAAACAATTTTCTTCCCTTTGAAGTCTTTCTGGATGTGGGTTTTGTCTAAAATAACTTTATTATTAACAACGTTCAAATAACTTTTACCACTACATTCTATGTCTCCACTGATGTTCTTATAATATTCCAATATAGTTTTATCAAACGGATCATATTTAGGCACCTTGCAGCCTTGTGTAAACAACACAAATTTTTGAAGCTCTGGAACTAAATTAATCGCACTTATTTTACTTTTTAAAGGAGTAAATGGTAAGTAAGACAAATAGTACAGTACAGTATATACGATACCTAACACACATAAGAGGTAAGCTGTCGTTTTAAAAACTGGTTTTTTCATGGTCAAATTATTTCGTGATCGTTTTTATCTTTAATTTAACTTATCGTTCTGAAAGGCCTTACTTACAGTATACGCGTGCTGGAATATTCTTTAGATTTCAGAGGGAAGTACGGAATTACGCCCATTTCCCGTTTCTGTCAGGTAATATGGATGAATACTTTACTCAAGCCTTTTCTCTTCCTTCAAAAACTCATCTAATTTACCTGCAAAATGGTTAAAAAATAAAATCAATTAATAATTTAAAGAGTTATACATGTATATATATACAGGGTGGTTCTAAATTGCTTTTACAAATTAAGAAGAGTGATAGCACCCATCCAGACGAGCAATTATTACCATAGAACATGGGTCGCATTCCACTCTGAGAGGCAGAAAAGAGGAAAGTAGAGACGCATCGATAAAGGACAATGAGACTATCTATCTCCTAAGACTATCAAGAATTAGCCGTATGCAAATTTGCACTAAGAAGAAGCGGCATTTTGCTCTTAGTTGGTACCGGAGAAAGCCAATCAGAACAAACGTTGCCCTTGAAAAAGACACAGCATCGCTTCAAGTATTAGGGCAGGTATCCTAAGTGGGAAGCCGTTTGGCCGGCGTAACATATCGTATCTACTTGGAACAAGTACTTCCCGTTTTATTGCAGGCTGTTCCGCTCTTTATTCAGAGAGGTATGCGGTTTATGCACGAGAACCCCAGCACATTTTTCCATCACGGTCCGTAACCTTTTAAATGCCACATATCCCGCACGATGGATAGGACGTGACGGACCTGTGGCTCACCGGACCTCAACCCTCTGGACCTTTTCTTCTGGGGGCAGATGAAATCTGTGTACTTACTGAAGATCTTACTGAGAATCGTTGTTGCCACGTTCAAAACTAACACGACACCAGGAATCTTCGGGAGGGTACATCAGTCGTTCCTTCTGATGTCAACTGTGCAACGACACACGTGGTCGGCATTTTGAGAACTTTCTGTAAGTTTTTCACTAAATAATAAATCTGATTGCGCAACTTTTGACCTCGTTCATTCGCTTTCCCAACATTGTTTAAGTTCAGGTTGGAATTCTATTCCTCTTCTTAATAATCTCAGTGTAGAATCTCAGTGCCTCTCAGTGTGCAATGCGCCCCTTTGTTCTGTGGTAATTATTGCTCGTCTGGATTAAATCTGTAAAAGCAATTTAGAATCACCTTGTATTATATTTCATAATTACAAAACAATTTTTTTAAACAAAATGTAAATATGCCTAATATTTTCGCGCATTAAGCTGCTGAAATATTATCAGTAAAGACATAAAGTAAGACATAAAAATTATGATGATCTTCAACTTCATAAGATTTTTAATTAAGCACAACAAAAATTTCCTGCTATAAATTCTAAAATTTCGGTTTGCTTCAAGTACAACAAAAAGCTAAGTAGTTTTATTTCTAACCATAATGAAGATTATGCAGTACCATGATTTTGCAATGAAGAAACATTTCTGCCATTTGTTGACGAAGAGCCCAAGCATATTATAACAGGAAATCTAGACGTTATTCAAGATCAAGATATTAGACCGCTTATGAAAAAGGAACGAAGATTAGACCTATTAAATTCATTAATAAATTATATTGTATAGAAAGTATTTCTACAGATATTGATAATTTCAACTTGATAGCAAGTTCTCAACTTAGTTTATTTTCATATCTAATTAAAGAATGGAAGAATGAGATTATTACTCAAAGCAAAAAGAAAATTGAGTAAATTCAAGGATTTAAAGAAATTAAAAACTGGAAAAATTTACTTCTGAAATTCACAATTAAAAAAGCAATTTAGCATAACCAAAATTGATAAAGCAAATAATAATTTCAGTATTTTATGAAAAATATTCTACAATGATCTGATTGAAATGAACTGAAAAATTCTTCTTCCTTGTAGAGACATTAGGTATTTTGTAGAAACAAGAAAGATTGAAAAATTAGCAACCGCCTTCGCCGGGAATCGAACCACGGACCTTTTAAATACCGGCTCAATGTGCTGACCACTACACCACGAAGGCACGCTAAGAAGGTGGGAGAAATACCTTATAACCTAATAGTGTGGGCAAAAATAAAGAAAGAACTGCTATTAAAAAAAATTTATGCTTTTCACAAAAAATGGAGAAATTCTCTCTTTACTACAAAAAACAAATTTGCCAATCTTTATGCCTTACCAAAATTTCATAAAAATCCAGTAAAATTTAGATTTATAGCCAATATTACCAGAAACTTCAAGAAGAATTTTGATGATATTTTACCACTCTACTTAAAACTGTTTGTAATATATATTTTCAACAAGTTAAAGAAGACAAAAACTACTGCTGGATTATTTATGACAACTTTCATTGAAAAAGTTAAAGATCTTAAAATTTACAATATTAACTGCTATGACTTTGAAAACCTCTACACGTCTCTGCCACTCAAAGAAATCTAGGAAAGTCTTTTAGAAATGACAGAATTTTTTCCTGAAATGCTTGACATTCTGGATTTACAAAAAATGGAATGAATTTCTACATTTTTCGCTATACAATAACAATATTAAACTTTCACACTTATTTTACCTGCAAACACAAGGAATTCCAATGGGAAGTTCATATTTCACTCATATTTGTAACTTATTTCTATTTTCTAAAGAATTCAAATTCCTAAAGAGCCTTTCTGATAACGACTTCAGTAAATTTGAACCCATTTATAGCTATATTGATGACATTGTTACTTTCAAAAATTTTAATCTCATCAAAAACAGCAACATCTACCCACATTGTCCAAAACCAGCAGAAATAGTTTATCTTGATCTAAGTATCTACAATCTAACAGAAATTAAACTTTTTGATAAAAGATTTTAATTTTTCTACTAATAAACTTATAAATTGGAATTCCAACATATCTAAAAACGTTATTGCAAATACTATCATTAAGCAAATTAACAGAATTAAAAAAGTTTGCACTGAAATAGAAACACAAAAAGAAGAAACTCTAAGTCTGACCAAAATTTTAAGAGATAATGAAATTCTTTTATCATTAATAGTCTTTTAAAAAAAACTGGAGTAGTCGACACCATATAATACTTTAAAAAAAAAAGAAGGATAAAGAAGGATTTTGTTTTAGGATATTTATTATAGGATTTTATTTTTTATTTATTTTTATTTTTCTACTTCTTTTTATTTTTTTCTCAATTACTGTTCTGCTACTAAATAAGGGCCTTATATATTCAAAGTTGTCATGATAAGCCCATGACTTGAAGAATTTTTACTTTTTTAACAATAGTCTCTTTACTTCTGTTTCAAAATATTCTAAGATCTATAAATCGACATCAATCACTTCTTAAATGTAACTTTTAATATGTACAATATTTACAGATCATAGATCAAACATGGTGGTTCAGTTGACAAATAAATCTATATGCTTTCATAATCGAAAATCGAAATCAAATAGGAACCGAAGTGTTCCTAATCAAACAGTGTGCGAACCATCAGACATCCATCTATCGAACTGCCGGTGGAGAGTCTATGGAAATTCAGAAGGCACGTCGCGTCTCGTTAACACGCAACGCTAGCGCCATCTATTAATTAATCAAAATAATTTCCACACACTCCCACCTGAACTCTGTCAAGAGTTCACATCAATCTAACAAGAATCAAATTTATAGCAATAAGTATTTTAACATATAATTATAAAACAATTGATAAGTATATTAAATGAATAGAAAATATATTCAAACTATAATCACTAAATTCTAAAAAAGGTATGTTATCATCAAATATAATTTGACACTACTTCAGTAAATCTAAACTATTCTTAATCTAAGCGTATGAAATTAAACTAGTAAAATAAACAATTGCATAAAACATATTCAATCTTATTCATATTATTAAACAATAAAAAATTTTTTAAAGTTCTAAAGGATATAATAATTGAACTGGTCGTTTTATTATTGTTCCATCAGCAGTTTTTAGTTCACAAGAACGAACTTTGTTGTCATGACCACGAAAAACGTTTATCACTCTACCACAATTCCACAAAGGTTTGCACTTATTGTTTGCCTTCAATTAATACAAGATCATCAACTTTTAGATCATCATAAACGTTAGGATTTTTTAATTGATGAGCTGTCCGAAGATCCATCAAATATTGTTTTTTCCATTTAGTCCACAGTTGCCTAACCAATAAATCTTGATAAATCTTTCTTTTAGTCAGAGAGGACTTGGTAGAGCCAACTTTAACAATGGAATTAAAGTTGATAGGTAATGTAGAATCTTTGTTTCCAAAAATCGAAAAATTGACTGGCTTTAGTGGCAACGGTTCCTTGTGGTCATTGTACACATATGTCAAAGGACGAGAATTCAAAACAGCTTCCACTTGTGCTAAAACTGTTGACAATTCTTCAAACGTTAGTAAAGCTTTACCGAGAATTTTTCGTAAGCACTCTTTCACTGATTTTACTAATCTCTCGTAGAAGCCTCCCCACCAAGCCCCTCGTTCTATTATAAACTTCCAACTGATTCTTTCATTCGACAGAAAATCTTGGAATTTCTCATTCGACAATAGTTTAGAGAAATGTTCGAGTTCTTTTTTTCCCTTTTTAAAAGTTTTCGCGTTGTCCGAATAAATTACTCGACAATTGCCTCTCCTAGATGTGAATCTTTTGAATGCCATCAAGAAAGAATCTGTAGAGAGATTCGGTACAAGTTCCAGATGTATGGCTCTAGTGATAGCGCATGTAAATAATGTTACATAGGCTTTTTGACTTCCTTCGATGTTTTTTACGTAAATCGGTACAGCAAAATCGATGCCAGACACGTAGGAATGGTGGTGTCTCATTGATTCTGTCTTCTGGAAGTTGAGAAGTGGTCTGGTCAGCAGACTTTCAATGAATATCTTTTTACAAATAAGACTCTTGTTTATTATTTTCTTGATAAATTGACGTCCTTTTGGAATCCAAAAGCGACTTCGAATTTCAGCTAAGGTCGTTGCTACTTCTCCATGCATCATTTTAACATGTGCACTTTCTACTATTAAATTCGTTAGCCAGGAGTCTCTTGAAAGAATTGCCGGATGTTTTTCATCATGTGACAAACTAGAATGTTGTAATCTTCCACCTGCTCTCAGTATTCCGTTTTGGTCTAAAAATGGGTTAAAAAGATATAAGGATGATTTCTTTTCGACTTTATTCGCTTTCTTCAGAGACT